CCCTACTTAGTTCTTTGTGACAATTTTAAAGGCCAAAGGGACACTGAAACCTGCTGTGTTGGAAACCATATTTGGACCCCTGGAATCCATATATTCAGCCAGCCAGTAAGTGAACACACTGGTGTGATTCCTGTAATTATATGGGAAGGACCCTATATTGGTGAGAAAGTAATATTTCAGGAAATAAGCTACCACCTTGTAAAACAGGCATTCAGTTCTAGCACTGCTAGCCTTGGTGGCACTTGCAGGTGTACCCAGGAAGCTGCTGGTCTGTATCCACATATCTGGATGTCAAGTTGCTGTCTGGATAGTGGTTTAAACCCAGTAAGTCTGCTCTGTGGTATTTTTAAGGGATGTTTTCTGTAGCTTATTCTGTGATCACCAAGCATGTATTTGGCACACAAACTGGATGTAAGGTGGAGGCTAACAAAGGTCAGCAGTGAAAATGCCATCAGTAATGTACCCCTCATGAGCTCTCGTTGCTCCTTGTGCAGTGTTCTGGCACTTCACCTGGAGAGAGGGAATTTGGGACCAGGATTGGAAAATTTCTGTCAGAATCTGGAGCTTTATGGCCACTATGCTGAGAATTTGGAGCAGGCAAATAAAATCTTGAAGGTAAATATCTCCTTTATTCTTCATGTTCTTTCTTCCCTCTCTCCATTCTGTGAAACAGCTACATCCTTCCCTTTTTCTTCTGTTTCTGGAGTGATGAGTTTTCTTCCTCTTTCCGGGCTGCTGCTATTTTCTTAGTCTTTCTTCCATAATAGAATGGTGAAAATGTCTCTACTTACTTAGAACTTCAAATTTCTGAATCTTATTTTAAGGTGTCTATGAACATATGAGCGTGCAAACACTGAGCCCACCTTTTTCAAACAGAGTTCTGTATTTACTCTCACTCCTCCTTGCCTGGCAAACCTGGAGAGTCTACAGTGGGAATGCTAGGGGACGGTGACCTCTTTCTGGAGAATTATCAGGTCTCCTAGTCTTTTCCACTACCATTAATTTATCCTAACAGTGGGATTTCCTTTTCTTTCTAATTTTTTGCTATGGTAGAAGGAAAAAAAAAAAAAAGCCTTCCCACTTACCTCTCCAAATACAACCTGTCATCCAAGAGATTTTAGAAGGATGTATTTTTATTTCAGTCTTGATTGCTGTATCTGGAATTTAAACCACCCGCCTTCTAGTTTTTGTCTGTGCTTGTTCCTAGCTGCAGGATGTACTGGGAAGTTTCCCTTCTGCCTGCTTGCATTCATAAATTCACACTTTTGATTTTCCAAAAGAAAAAGCCATTTTGGAAACTTGCCTTTAGGTGATGGGAATGTGGGGCTGCATTGCTTTGTCTTGAAATGAATGGCAAAACCACAGGCGGAATCCTTGTTTTCCTAGCTGAGTCAACCTTCCCTTTTTCTTAATTTCCATTTCCTGAGCATACTAGCTGTGCACATATTCTCAGCAAATGCAGCAGGTTTATACTGCTGTGTATGTATGAAGAAGGGATATTGCTTCAACTACCCACTAGAAATAGTGGCCAGGGGAATGGAATGGCTTGCCCATGGCCACAAAAGAAGTTGTTGGTGCTTATGTTTCACACTGGAGTTCTAAACTCTAACAGTTCCAAGCTCTGGTGCAGACTAGAGCACATAATTCTTCTTGTAGTCTCAAAGCTAATATCGCTTTTATGCTGCATGCAGGAGCAATTGAGGAAAAATAAGTCATTCCGACGGTTTAAAAAACTCCAGGAGGCTCGACCTCAGTTTCAGGGGAGGAAGCTAGAGGATCTGCTTCCTTTGCCCCTGCAGAGGCTGCACCAGTAAGTAAACAATTCTGAGTCTTCAAGATGTTAGTATAAGGAGGGAAAAGGGAACATAACAGTGTATTGGTTGCTATGAGAGTTGAAGTTGCTTAATGTGTCTCAAAATCGGAGCATATAGACAGCAATGAAACAGACCTGAAAAACATGCCTGTAACATGGAGTCAGTATGTATGGAAGGGAGATGACACAGAGATGTAGCTGTGTTTAGTGCTGGCTCCGAAGCCATTCATCTAGCTCTTCGGTAGAACGGAAGTGGAGGCTTTCTATCATCTTGGTAAGCTACTGAAATTAGGCCCTGAACAAAAGCAAGTTTCTGAAGTGCTGCAGAAGTGGTGCTCTCTGCCAGAGATGGTCTCGCTCTGCTTTTGTGTGGGTTGCTGATCTGGAGTGCTGTGACTTCTTTGCAGATGGTTGCTTTTAGAGAGAGATAAGATTAATGAGCACAGGGAAGACTTTTCCCCCCTCCCTGGTTTTCAGGACCATATGCTTTCCTCAAATTTGGTACTTATTGCAGTTATCTGAGCCTGGACAGACTCAGCCTGGATTGCTGTATTCCACCTCTTCAGGCATCATCTCCCCTTTGAAGAGGCAAGCTGCCTGCACAAGGGTAGTGCTTCATGCATTCAAGGCCAGCCCGTTCTTGGTGAGGATATGAGTTGTACAGAGCACAGGTAGTTTCCTGGCAACCCAGCTGCGGCTGCTATAGATCAAGTAGCTGCTCTTAAGCATGGTCTTAGCTGCACTAAAGCAAATTTGAGAGGCTGAGAGCCTCATTTCTTTGAAAATAATTAGGAATAAGCGTACAACAGTCCTTCAGGTAGCGTTATGCAACCTTTTTAATCAGCTTGGCAGATACAAATGTTGCCTGTTGCTTTTACTGTAATTCTTTGGATCCTTCCTTTAATTTGTAAAATAGCAGTGTATTTGTTGCTGTCCAGCTGTTTGGAAAAATGATGGCTTTTTAACAGAAGGTCTAATTTTTTCATTAATCATCTCTTTTGTGTTCAAGTTTCTTTGAAATCCTATTACATATACTGCAGGTCATACGACTTCTGCCAGTTCATGAATCTATACAATGTGATATTTCTTCTGTAAGTTCAGACTGAAAATAGCCTGACTTTTATTGAGAAAAAGCATTTGCGGAGATCCGATCCTTTGTGGTAAAGACTGGAGAGGAAAAAAGAGAAAAAGCAGCTCCTAGTTCTTATAGAAATGCCTTTATTTTCTTCTGTGGGCAGGAATCATGGTATGAATGCTACCATTCAGACATTAAAAAAAAGTAGTTCAAAGGAAAAATTGACAGTAACTGAAGGCATTTTTATGTGAATTCTAAAAAAGTCTCATGAACTTCAGTAATATGTGAGGTTGCTTTTATCAGATTCCCAGGAAATGCCTAAGGTTGCAAATGTATAAAATACATAGGTTAATAGAGTTGATAACTTTGAAAATGAAATGAATGCGATTGAAGAATTGTGACCAAAATATTGGTTGGTTAGGCTTAAAGGTGTGTATTCCATCTCCTGGTGGAGGGTTGTTCATCGTTCTGTCACTAATAGGAGGTGCTGCTGATGCTGGTATCTTTGTGTGATATAAACCTGCTTTCTCTCTCTTAGATATAAGCACTTCCTCAGAGACTTGTTGGAGAACACCAGTCCAGACAGCCCTGAGTACCAGAAACTTGCAAGTATGATTCTACCTGTAGACGCTGGCACTTTGAGCTCTGTTAGCCTCCTTGCTAATAATACTTGGATTCTCATCTTCTGTCTACTTCCACAGGAAAAAAAATCCTCCTCTCTCTGGCATTCTAATGAGTTACTATTTCCCTTCTCCATTCTGATCAAGATGACCCTGAGAACACATTGGGAATAAAACTGTAGAGTAACTGACTGGGTTAAGTGGCTTATGGGTTAGGTCAGAGAGATGGCAGCTCTTTTTTCTGACAATGAGGGTGTGAAACAGAGGAACAGGTTGCTTAGGGAACCTGTGGGAACTTGGGGAACACTGTCCAATTACTGGAAGTGTTCAAGGTCAGGTTGGATGGGGCTGTGAGCAACCCGGTGTAGTGAGAAATGTTTCTGCCCATCACAGGGCATTTGGACTAGATGATCTTTAAAGCTTCTTTCCAACCCCAGTCATTCTATGAATCTTGGGCATGTGCCTCGGTTTTCTAGAACAGTTCATGACCTTCATGCCATATTTACAAGCAGTAAACACCCCTTATGGGGCATTTTTCCTGTTTCTGCTTCCAAAACCAGGAAATTATTCCTCTGTCTAATGTTTAACCGGCAAATAAATCTTGGGATTTTTTAGAACTGCAAAATTATTAGTGGGAGAGAGGCCTCTGGAGGTCATCTAGTCCAATTCTCTTGCTGAAATCACTGAATAAATTTGTTGCTGATAGTTGGTTTACAACATTTGCTTCTTAATTTCATTTTATCTTTTCACAGCAAGGTAGATAAGGAGTAATATGTACTCATTTGTGATAACCTCAGAATATGCTGCTGTAATTTCAGAGGCTGTGAAATCTGTTTCTGAGGTATCTCGGTGGGTACAAGATATCATTCATAAGAGAGAGAACTCATTGCAGCTACTTCGCATTCAGAAACTGCTCAAAGGACAGAAGATCCAGATTTTGACTCCAGGTGGGCCTTACTGACAGCTCTGTTTTAACGCTGGCAAGATAAGATAACTAGAGATATGCTTGCCTTCATGTCTGACTCAACTCATATCAACCAGTTTTCCCCTTCTGCCCAAATTCTATAGATAGGTGGTGAAGGAATGTAAGTAATAACTCAAGCACTTTAAAAAAAGGTGAGCAATTTTTGAGTAAGGATAAGCAGCAGCTCAATTGCCTGACATTCAGTTAGAGGGTGCTGATAACACGTAGTTAGAAAGTTTGTAACAGGATCTAAGGAGGTTGGGAGTGTAAGTCCTGCGTTAGAATGAAAAACAGACATTAAATGATTTTTGAGGAGTGTAAGAAGCGGTGGTGTTCCTACTCCAAAGCATGAGCCATAGATTTATGAGTGTCAAGAGCCTAAGGACTGTGGTGGTTTTTACCTTAAGGTACAAGCTTCATAGACTTCTGCTCACACCCTTCACAGGAAGAATCTTCTTTTATCTGCATGGTTAAACTGTGCCGGAAGTCAGATTGTGTTAATAGCTGAGATACACAGAGTGACAGTCACTGGCATGTAAGATTATCTAATTGGTTAGCAAGTTTGTTTATGACCTCTTGCTTGACTAGGTGCTCTCCATGCCCAAAGCACACTCCAAGCTACATATGGAATGTTGTGAGAAATATGCCCAGTCTGGGCAATTATGAAATGGTCACTTGGGGCTTTGCCAGTGCCCTCAGGAAACACTCATATAGCAGAGATATCTAGAAAGAGTGCTGCAGCCGGACAGGAGTGTTAAGGTCACTGTGCATGAAGGTCTCTAAGGCACATCTCCAAGTATTTGTGAATGTGGTTGTAATTCATACACATGGGCTTCTGCATGAAGCATCTGCTAGTGGAATGGGTGAGACAATCGGAAAGGTAAAAGTAAGAAAATGTGTGGATTGAGGTAAAAGTAGTTCGACAGGGAAAGCAAAATCCACATGCACAAGTAAAGCAAAATAAGGAATTCATTCACTTCCCATCAGCAGGCAGGCATTCAGCTATCCCTGGGAAAGCAGGGGTCCATCATGCATAGTGGTTACTTAGGAAGACAAAACTCCGTCACTCCAAACATACCCACTTTCTTCTCCTTCCCCCAGCTCTTTATGCTGAGCATGACACCATAAGGTGTGGAATGTCTCTTGGGTCAGTTGGAGTCAGCTGTCCCGGCTGTGTCCCCTTCCAACTCCTTGTGCGCCCCCATCCTGCTCGCTGGTGGGGTGGGATGAGGAGCAGAACAAAACCTTCATGCTGAGCAGTGCTTACCCAGCAGTAACTAAAATATGCCTGTATTGTAAATGCTGTTTTCAGCATAAATTCAGAACAGCCCCATACCAGCTGCTGTTTGTTTGAAGAAAATTAACTGTCCCAACCAAACCAGCACAGGTAGAAAAAGAGGTTATTTATGAGAGGTTATCATTCTCAAAGATGCTCAGTCAGTGGTCAGGTTAATTTACAGTTCTCCTTCCCATTCTTATTGCAATCCTTTTGGTGATGCTAGCTGAAAGCAAGCTAATATAGGTGTGATCTGCTTATACTGAGCATAAGCATGTGTGTGGGTGCCTGTGCACACTGGGTTAGCGCTTAAGTAAAAAGGTAAATCAGTTATCCTGAATGAATAAGTTAACCCCATGACAGAAAAACCCAACCCCAAAAGAGTATAGCTAGACCAGAGATGGCCATCGTTTGAAAGCTTTAGTCCACATTTTTCTTTGTCTCTGAATATTCTGAGATGTGTAGTAAGGCGAGCGTTGAGGGTCTGTGGACACCTTTCCATTATCTGGGACAGAGAATTGTGATGGCTGTGTTTTCCATTAGCTGGGGTAAAATAGGTATTATTGGATGTGAGAAGCAGAAAAGTAAGGGGCAGCTGGGGCTTGGTAGTTTTGGGCCAGCTTTCAAGAAACAAGCTAGCTTTTGCAAAGCTTAACATTTCATCCTGTTACTAGAACAGAAGAGGTGAGAAAACATAATGTTATAGATTCAGATAAAAGGGGTAGCTTTGGAGTTAGGCATCTCCCATTTGGCTGTATCTCTGAGAAGTACTGCTCCCAGTGAAAAGAGACCCTGTTTTCCTTGCTGCCTTCCACATACAGGGCAAATACAATCTTAGCCAGAACTGCTAACAGAACATAGCACACTGTTCTGTCATCCCTAGCTTCCATACGGATATTTCCTTTTCATCCTTTCACAAGAATTTCCTAAAGTGTGTTCCCCTGGAATTTCTAAACACGGATCTGTGTCGAAGACTTCCAAGACAGTCCAGCTCAGACTGTTTGCCAGGGAGTCTAATCACAACTTAGCTTGAAGGAAACAATTCCTAGTCCAGCACCATGCTGCTGACACCTTCCTTCCATTTGTTTTTTTAAACTTGGACTTATTCCTGCACCTCACCTTTCTCTCTTTCTCAGTTTCTTACTCATATAAAAGGAGTGGTTCCTGTGGAGTAAGCTAAGCAGGAATTCCCTTGCCTCTGTGTCCTGGGACTGTGGCATACTGAGTAAGACAATCCGTAACTGAATCAAGATTGTGTTGTTTTGTAAAGGTACTTATTAGCTCAGCCAGAAGCTAAGGCACAGAGAACAATGGCTGAAATTCTCTGGCAGGTGTTTCCCAGACCAGGCCAGGTGGCAATACCTTATTATTGTGGCTTTAGATTTTTATAAATAATCTTACTGGCAGGTGTCTTTATAATTCTCTTAAGTTCATGGCTATCTTATACAATAATCCTCCTCATTAGAGGCACTGCTTTAATTATTCCATGTTCTGTAGATGCCATTTTTGCATCTTACAGAATTTCTGCTTATACCTAGGTTTACCAAATTGTTTTGATTTTTTTCCTCTGTCAATTTATCTGCTTTTGTTTTAATGCAATTCATTTCATGGATAGATGACTCTGAACCCTATTCTGTAAGATGAGGTTGATAAGATTTCCCATTCAGACCTTCCTTTTAATATGTTGGTTTATATCCCCTTCACTGTCTTCTCATTAGAACAGTAATCTGCATTCTGTAATCTGTTAATTTCTAGAAGTCCGCATGTGGTTAGATGACCTGTCAAACCCTTTGTGTTTTGTTTTAATTGTCATGCACAAAATAATAAATATTCGAAGCTTAGGCTAACTTCTGTTTACCACTAACGACAAACAATTGGGCAACACAGTTTAAGATAGTCCATTGTATGTTTTCCGAAGGCTTATGTTAATTTAAAGGCAGGCATACCACTTCAAACCACGTTTTTGTTCTGGTCTCATTACACAGATTTGTATATCATAATATCCTCTTCATTAACGCAGACATAACTCCAGTCTGCTCCTCATACACTAAAAGTTTGGGCTGATTACTCTTCTGCATGGGTTCTGTCAGTGCTGGTGAGGTGTCTGTAGTTGATACTCAGTGCCTCCTAGTGGCTGGAATTGTTGTAGAACCCGGTAACCTACAACGGTAACTCACTGTATTCCCGTTTGTCTCATTACATCCCTTTTTCTGCCTTTTTTTCTGACAACTGTTTTCTGTTTTTATTTCCCTCACATGCCCAGGGCGCTGGTATATCCGGGAAGGCTGGCTTTTGGTGGTGCCTTCGAAGGGAGAAGAACTGAAGCGCAGGATGTTCTTCCTCTTTTCTGATATCTTCATTTCAACAAAGCCTTGCCACCCACTGCACCCACTGAATTCAAACAAACTGGCATGCCAGGCTGTCTACCCGCTTCACCAGTGCGTAGTGGATAAGGTGTTTGGCCACACGCAGAGCCAGGGGG